AATTACTAAATGCCTAACAGTCTACGAGTTACTTTAGATCACAGTTTATACCTATGTGTAGGTACTAAATTTCATCAATATCTGTCCAGCCAAATGTTTACGCGATCTTAATCCCTCCACGACCGCGGACACGCCGGCGTGTCAGTTAACAATAGATTTCTTAGAATTTTAATTAATTTCTTAGAAATTTACCTTGAGGTTTTAAATTCAGTTAAAGAAACGAGAATAAAGTATAAAATATAATATAAATAGCTTACTAATATAAAAGCGGAATTTTTATAAGTTTAATTGTTCACCCTAATCTGTAGAACTACCAGTCCGATTTGATAACGTCTTTTTGCCTTTTATATACTAGCTTTTCCCGCGGCTCCGATCAGTTAGTATATTTATATATAGCTTTGTTTCGATCCTGAAAGTCATAGCGTGATGTTAATCTAAAACCTTACTCAAGAATTAGGCTATCGAATACATAAAAAATATTTCAAATCTAGCCGCTAGTTCTAGAGATTAGGGGGCTGAAACAAAAAAAAACAAACTGTTCATATTAGTATATATTTATTATGCATATAAAATCTTTTGAGCTGAGTATTGATATATAATAATGTAAACTACGCAAGTGGAATCGCAGGCAAAAGCTAACACTAGCCTTTGCTCGTCTTAACAATATTGAGTTTAATATCACATAAAAGCAGCAAATATTAAAAATAATACTTTTTTATAACATTACAATGAGATTTATAAGCAGAATGGTGTCTATAGCAATTACCTGCCCATAATATATAGTCTCAGGTATAAGTAGCCAATATCCATAAATATTTTACACGATTTCATCTCAACCGCTATAATGATACCATATTCAAATTACCATTAGATCATGTACCTACATAAGTATAAGGAGTGAAGAATTGCACTAAGTTTGTTCAATTTTCTTAGTGGCCGCATAAATGACTTTGTTTTGAATAGTGATGATGATGATGATGTTTTCCTAGCCGATTCCGGCTACGGCGGCCAATCTCATTGAGATTAGCCAACTGCGCAGGAGATATTATAGTGCACAAGTGTACGCGCAGACACAAGTGCACTCTCTATTCCTATCACTCTCATACTCCGGTGGGACGATCACTCGACACGACCAGTGAGAGTTAAGGCGCAGGACCGACGGCTTTACGTGCTCTCCGAGGCACGGGGGTGAAACACCGCCAACATCCCAACTCCGGGCTGTTACTCAGACTTACTATACAGAAAGTCTCAATAACTAAACTTGGCCCAACCCGGGACTCGAACCCAGGACCTCCGGGTGTGCAGCCGTACATGCTAGCCACTACACCACCGAGGCAGTCAATGTCATAATTGAATAGTATCAATGTGATAATTGATGAATTATACATATATAATTGATATTGTAATAGCGTATTATATATCACTTAATTTTTTTAAAGGAGCAGTAAGTACATTTAACACTTTTATAGGTACATACTATAATAAAATCGTAACTAAGCCGAATCTGTACATTAAATATATTTTGGAAAATCTTATTGAAATAAACATTATTATCGATACAGAAGCCGAATCTATAGTTTTTAGAATTTTAGTCTGTCTGTCTGTCTGTTACCGCATCACGGAAAAACTACTGGAGGGATTTTGATGTTTGGTATGATGATAGCTGGTTATCCGCGTCAACATATAGGATACTTTTTATGGCGGCAAAATATCTCATTTCTGAAAAAAATATACAAAAATAGCATTCTAAGAGTATACTAATACGTAAAACCTAAGAATTTGGTTTTTGGTAATCTGAACGCGGGCGGAGCCGCGGGCAATGCTAGTTAGATATAATAACGTTTTCTTCTTTCATTTAATATTAAATATGTTTATTCACATTAGATTTCGATTATAATAAATTAAAACCAAACTTCATTCCTAAAATCGAATATACTACAAATACTTAATTCAGTTACGATATAAACTCGACAGATATAGAATATACTTTAGGCTTTATCCTAAAGATTAGTGCTAAGCTGGTTTCTAGGCAATAAATATTTAATAGAACTAGTTCTACCATTAGGTGGTATCTAAACATCAATAAATGTTTTGTTGCTATTGTAGTACCCGTGTCGATTTGCAGATAATGTGGGAAGGATTTGTGTTTCGAGTAGCGATTTCAGAATGCTATTTATGGTGGATATAAACTAAAAATATTTGATTTTCTTGTAATATATTGTTATATCTTGTGTTATATTATTACAATATAATTTATGTGGTTCTATATGCATGGCTCGATTAGAAACCTATTTCTATGACTACGATGTTCGTCCGTCTGTCCTAATTTTCTTTTTTTTGTTGTTGTATTGTAAATTTTGTAATATACTCGTATACAAGCGTAAGAACATATAACAAAAAGTGGAATTATAGCCTACATATATGTATTATGTATGTAGATTTAATCATGAGATTATGATTAAATTTTAATTGAATAGGTATACGTACCACTTTTTCAATCTTTTATTGCTCATGAAAATCGATTAACAACTAATAAAGGTACACTAAAATTAACGTCTTCCTCTTTCTGAAGTCTGCTAATAATATGTCATATTCGCGTTAAGGGCTTTAACTATTTCATATTATAAGGTTTTATTTATATATACATAGTATTTTTAATTACATATTTAAGTAAATAGTTTATACATATCAATATTAATACATAATTAAAGATTATTACAAATTATGTTATTCATGATAAACTATACTTCTACTATTACTTAGATTTTTATTGTTTCATATATTTGCTTATAAAAGCTATTAGATAGATAATCTTAGGTAGGAAACCTTCGTTTAACTAAGAATATGTTAGACTATAATGTTATCAATGTAACTAACTTATATGGAAGATAAACTATTTTTATACCTCCTCAATACTTTTATAAACATCAGTTTTACAATAATTTTACAATTGGACGACACGTTTGGCTCAGTTTGTAGTGACCCTACTTGCTGTGCCAGCGGTCGCGGGTTCGAGTCCCGCTGGGGGCAATCTTTTGTGTGATGAACACGAATATTTGTACTCCAGTCATGGGTGTTTATATTTATAATATATATGTAGTTACATATACATATATGTGTAGTGTATCAACTATCTGGTATCCATGACACAAGCCTCGTAGCTTGCCATGGAATTAGATGGTGCTGTGTGTTAATGTCCCAACATATTTATTATTTATTTTAATGTAAGGAAGTCTGCCTCTTTATAATATTAGTATGTAGATTAAAACAATTAAAAATGATTTAAGGAACTGCTATGCCACTAGATGTAACGAAATCTATGTTTTTTTATTTTTCAATTCATTTTATTTTTATTTAATTTTCTTATTTGCAATTAATTTCGACCTAATTAACTGCAGGTTAATGATTACATTATACTAATTTTTTTTAAATTAGTTTTAGTTTAATATGATTTAAATTTTTTATACTTTGAATATATAAAAGTTAGCATCTAAATACGTTTCGTTGTAAATACATAGTACTCAAAATTGTTAAATGAAACAATTTTGAGTAGTTCATAAATTGTGTTAAGTTTTGATACAAGATGTTAAATGAAAATTATAGTATCACTTGCTCTTGCAAGATTCAATAGTGCGATTGAATCAATTTCAACGCATTCAGTTTGAATGCTCTTGCGCATCGATAGAGTTGGCCAATCAGAGTATTTTGTGGGAGGTCATAGGCGTGGTTATGCAAGCCCCGCCCACCGCCTCTACCATGGATATCAGTGTTGGATTACCGATAGTAGAGTTCATATGAGACTGGTGTGACGTCTTTTAAAGTATAAAATTTATTGGTTTTGGTAATAATTTTCTAATGTCTATTTTATTTATTGAAAATAATAAAAATGGCAGCAAGTTTTACTTTCTTTCTTGTATCAGCAGATATGATATTATTATGACTTTAAGTTACTTAAATACTACAATTCTAATAACGAAATTAAAATAATAATAATAATAAGCTTTAGTGCAAAGCTTTTCGGGTATTTTATTTATACACATTTGAATGTATAGATAGATATTTTTATATGGTTTTAAACCAAACCAACCTAATTTGTTATTTAGTTTGTTCATTGTATTATAAAAATGTATTTTAAAAAGAAGTAGGTAGGTACTTTTCTACTCTGTTGCAGATGCATTTTTTATAATATATTGTATATATCGGCGTGACGCCGTTAATTAATCATAATTAGAATAAATTCATAATTTAAAATTATAATAAATAATAAAAAAAAAATCAATTTCTAAAGTAACTTTTCATATTTAAATAAGTTGTAACGTTTTCAATTGTTGTTAAATAACTATTGTTTTTGATTTCCTGTTATTTTATGGTAAATTAAATTATCAATAATATTTATCGGCGTGACGCCGTTAATTAATCTTATTTAGAATAAATTCATAATTTAAAATTATAATAAATTCAATTTCTAAAGTAACTTTTCATATTTAAATAAGTTGTACGTTTTCAATTGTTGTTAAATAACTATTGTTTTTGATTTCCTGTTATTTTATGGTAAATTAAATTATCAATAATATTATAAGCTCATAAATGTTAAAATTAAAATAATAAATTATTAAGTTCGTATTTCCTCTTATTTTATGGTATATTAATTTATCAATAGTTTTACAATTGTAAAGTTTGAACATAGTACTTCCGAAAAAAAAGAGGGCGCTATGTTTAAGCTAATATGGCGGGAAAGCGGCCGACCAAGAGGAGGGTGGACGATGGGTCGCACTTCACTTTTGCTCGGGCGTTTACCTGATATAGAGGACTGGCTGTTTTTACTTAAGCTAGCAGATAAGTATTTAGGATAGGTTTAAATAATTATAGTGTTAATTTGTGTATTGTTAATTGGATTGTTAGTTTAAAGTGATTAGTAAAAATTATAATAGTAAGTAAAACGACTTATCATTTTGATCTCTAGTTGATTTTAATTATCTTTAAATTTATTTAAATTAAAAATGAATGAAAATAACAAGGTAAGTGACGTCAGCAATGCTGGCGTCGTTTTTAATGACAATATTTCTGTTCGTCCTTTGTCATCAGAAGTGGGATGCCCTCCCACTTCTGCCGGACATTCTGATAATACTGGTTATGCTGCGGAGCACGTAAGTACTGAGCCTAACACCACTAACATTACGACGGAATTTTTTGTGCAAATGATGCAGACCATGCAGCAGATGTCGGAAAAATTGATGTCGCAACAATATAATAAGGTAAAAATCAACGATATATTTTTACCCTCCTATGATCCTGACGGCTCCGTGGGTATACGAGAATGGTGTCAACATATATCAAAAGCAATTGACAAATATAAGCTTGATGATTATGACATCCGAATGAAGGTAGGTAGTTTATTAAAGGGTAGAGCTAAGTTATGGGTAGATAATTGGCTTATTTCAACGAATTCTTGGGATGAATTACGTGAAAACCTGATTTCAACATTTGAGCCTGAAAACAGGTATTCGCGAGACATAGTAAAATTTCGTGAACATTCTTACGATCATAATAAGGATATATCTGAATTTCTATCACAAGCCTGGGTTTTATGGAGACGTATAACGAAAGATAAACTAGGTAATGATGACGCGGTTGAGGCGGTGATAGGATGTATTAAAGATGAACATTTGAGAATTGAATTATTGAACGTACGCGCTGAATCTGTCCCGGAGCTTATCTCAGTGGCATCATCGATTCGATCTTCGAAGAAACGTCCCCCTACTGAACCAGGTACTCAAAATTACGGTAAGCGAATTCGATTGAATGATTCTCAAATGTCACTCTTTTGTAAGATTTGTAAAAAAAATAATCACATTACACGAGATTGTCGCTTTAAATCTTTTGAGAATAACTCAAGCGGGTCGCAAGACAAAACCTTAAATCAAAGCAAAGGAACGACAATTTCTAATCCACACCATAATAAAACTTGTTCATTTTGTATGAAGGTAGGTCATACTTACGAAAATTGTTTTAAGCGTGAACAGAAAGTTATGTCAAACGTTAATTGCGTAGGTAGTTCGAAAACTACACCCATGCGCTTAAATATCGGTGACTTTTCAATACGTGCAATTTTTGATAGTGGCGCTGAGTGTTCTGTTATGTGTGAAACAATAGCTGCTAAATTACCAGGTAAAAGAATTCATGGTGTGAAATACTTACGCGGTATCGGACATTTTCCAGTAATATCGTTAATGACATTAAAGACTATTTGTGAAATAGATGAAATCAATATCGAAATATCTTTTTGTATAGTCCCTGACTATGAATTAAATACCAACGTTTTAGTGGGTATGGATTTAATAAATAATACAACGTTGAGCGTATTAGTAACATCGAATGGTACTAAATTATTACGACAACCCACCGTAATGCATGTAAAAGCTAATAATTTTTTATTTGACAAAATTAATTGTGACCTCACAGATAATAATCAGATTGATTTATTGCGAATTTTACTAAACAAATACGTTCATTTATTTATCCAGGGTTTTCCTACAACCAGAGTTAATACTGGACATCTAGAAATTCGGTTAAAGAATCCAGATAAATACGTTGAACGTAGACCTTACCGTTTAAGCCTTATAGAACGCGAAAAAGTCAATAAAATAATAAAGGAATTGCTTGAACATAACATTATTCGTGAAAGTAGGTCACCGTACTCTAGCCCTATTATATTAGTAAAAAAGAAAAACGGAGATAATAGGTTGTGTGTCGACTATCGCGAATTAAATTCGAATACACTCAGGGACCATTATCCCTTGCCATTGATCTCCGATCAAATCGATCAATTGGTGAACGGTTATTATTATAGTTTATTTGATATGGCAGCAGGGTTTCATCAAATTCCTATAGCTGAAAGTTCAATCGAGAAAACTGCATTCGTTACTCCAGATGGATTGTACGAATATTTAACCATGCCGTTCGGCTTGAGCAACGCCTGTTCCGTATACCAAAGATGCATAAATAGAGCACTACAACCATTGCTTGGTGATGCAGGAGTTGCTCAAGTCTACGTGGATGATGTTCTTAGTAAATGTGTTAATTTTGATCAAGGATTATCTCACATTGAACGGATTTTGGTAGCTTTGCAGAATGCAGGTTTTTCAATAAATGTTGAAAAGTCTTCATTTTTTAAACGTTCAATAGAATATTTAGGCAATATAATTTCTGATGGACAGATTCGCCCTAGTCCTTCAAAGGTAGATGCACTTGTAAAATCACCCATTCCTAATAACGTAAAACAAGTCCGCCAATTCAATGGCCTAGCTGGATATTTTCGCCGCTTTATTCCCAACTTTTCACGTATTATGTTACCTTTATATGAATTAACCAAAAAGGGGGCATGTTGGGAATGGAATGAGCGACATGACCAAGCACGTAATACTATTATTGAATATCTTACCTCAGCACCTGTTTTAACTATATTCCAGGAAAACTCACCAACTGAACTTTATACCGATGCTAGTAGCCTTGGCTACGGCGCTATTCTGGTTCAAGTGATTGATGGACGTCGTCACGCCGTGGCCTATATGAGTATGCGAACTACAGAGGTTGAGAGCCGCTATCACTCATACGAGCTGGAAACGCTTGCCGTGGTGAGAGCTATAAAACATTTTAAACAATACCTATATGGTCGTCATTTTAAAGTAATCACGGACTGCAACGCCTTAAAAGCGTCTAAGCATAAAAAAGAGCTGCTGCCTAGAGTATATCGTTGGTGGGCATTCCTTCAAAATTATGATTTTGAAGTTGAGTACCGGAAAGGTGAGCATTTACAGCATGCTGATTTTTTTAGCCGAAACCCAGGTACGTTGCAAGTTAATATTATGAATAAAGATTTTGAATGGCTGAAAGTGGAACAACGCAGGGATCCTACATTGCGACCAATGATTGATGCAATCTTACGTAACGAACTAATAGACGGCTATAAGTTAGAAAACGACGTATTAATCAAGGTGGGTACAGATGTAGATGACCAAAAAGCGGTAGTTGTACCAAAATCATTCCAATGGAGCTTAATAAACACATATCACACTGCGTTAAAACATCCAGGCTGGGAAAAAACCTTACAAAAGTTAAAAGAATCTTATTGGTTTAAAAGCATGTCCAGTATTATAAGAACCTTTGTTGAAAATTGCGTGGTGTGTAAAACTTCAAAAGGTCACTCTGGTGCTATACAAGTTCAATTACATCCCATTCAGAAGCCTACAGCAGCATTCCAGACAATACATATGGATACTACGGGTAAACTGGGTACAACAACTAACCATGACTACGTGATTATCACAATTGATGCATTCAGTAAGTATGTATTGTTCTATTATGCCACTAGCAAGAGCCCACATAGTACTTTAGCTGCGCTGAAACGTACAGTACATCTATTTGGAACACCTAACCAAGTAATAGTTGATGGTGGTCGCGAGTTCTTGGGAGATTTTAAAGTGTATTGTGACAATGTCGGCATTAATATTCACACGATATCGCCAGGAACTAGCCGAGCGAATGGCCAGGTGGAACGAATGGTTGGTACACTTAAAAATGGTCTTATTATGATAAACAACTATGAAACTGAAGAATGGCCAGTAGTATTAGATAGCTTACAATTAGCATTCAATTGCACACCGCAAAGTACGACTGGGGTTGCACCACTTACACTGCTAACTCGTCGCAAAAATTGCGTACCCCCCGAGCTTTTTCGTTTGGTTAACTTTGAAAATCAAACTATTGATATGGAACAACTATACCAGCATGTACAACAAAGAATGCTTAATGCAGCAGAAAAGGAGAAAATAAGGTTTAATAAAAATAAAGCTAAAATACGTCCCTTCCAAAAAGGCGATTATGTTTTAATAAAAAATAATCCTCGTAATCAAACTTGTTTAGACTTGAAATATAGTGAACCGTATGAAGTATGCAGAATCCTAGATAACGACCGCTACATGGTAAAAAAGGTAATAGGCAAAGGTCGACCGCGCAAGGTTGCTCACGATCAAATGCGCCTAGCACCACAACCTGGACAACAGGCGGCCGTATCGGCGGGGACGGAAGTAGTCACTAGTCAATCATCAAGAGACAATAGCCTGTTGGACCCGCAACCTTCGACGTCTTCTCAGATAGATGCCTAAGAAATTATCATGCCTGGAACCTCTAAAGGTCTGTACTTTCTATTATCTTTATACAATTTCGCTGTTTAAATAACTAATTCTAACACTAGGCACCGTAGTTGCAATATTCACGTTAACACGTGTACATCTACACATAATTTTAATATAAGTATAGAGTATTTCAGAGCCTCTGTGTACCACGGTATAAGATAAATACCTAGAGCACAGCATCGACCTTATTACCCAATTCCTTTAGAGCCTCTGTGTACCACGGCGAACAGGACCGCCCAGAGCATAGCTACAACTCCTTATAAAATTATTGACTTAGTGAGAAGGTCAATAAATAACAACACAACTTTATTAATAAAAAAAAAAAATAAAAAAAATAAAAAAAAAAAGTGCCTTAACAATAAATAAAAAAAAAAATGCTTCCTTTACATATCTTTCAGGTACCTGGATACAGATACCTATTTAAAATCAAAACTTTCATTGTTACAGATAAAAGGCTAGTGCAGGGCGCGCACTGCCTATCAGTATGGCCGTATCGGCGTGACGCCGTTAATTAATCATAATTAGAATAAATTCATAATTTAAAATTATAATAAATAATAAAAAAAAAATCAATTTCTAAAGTAACTTTTCATATTTAAATAAGTTGTAACGTTTTCAATTGTTGTTAAATAACTATTGTTTTTGATTTCCTGTTATTTTATGGTAAATTAAATTATCAATAATATTTATCGGCGTGACGCCGTTAATTAATCTTATTTAGAATAAATTCATAATTTAAAATTATAATAAATTCAATTTCTAAAGTAACTTTTCATATTTAAATAAGTTGTACGTTTTCAATTGTTGTTAAATAACTATTGTTTTTGATTTCCTGTTATTTTATGGTAAATTAAATTATCAATAATATTATAAGCTCATAAATGTTATAATTAAAATAATAAATTATTAAGTTCGTATTTCCTCTTATTTTATGGTATATTAATTTATCAATAGTTTTACAATTGTAAAGTTTGAACATAGTACTTCCGAAAAAAAAGAGGGCGCTATGTTTAAGCTAATATGGCGGGAAAGCGGCCGACCAAGAGGAGGGTGGACGATGGGTCGCACTTCACTTTTGCTCGGGCGTTTACCTGATATAGAGGACTGGCTGTTTTTACTTAAGCTAGCAGATAAGTATTTAGGATAGGTTTAAATAATTATAGTGTTAATTTGTGTATTGTTAATTGGATTGTTAGTTTAAAGTGATTAGTAAAAATTATAATAGTAAGTAAAACGACTTATCATTTTGATCTCTAGTTGATTTTAATTATCTTTAAATTTATTTAAATTAAAAATGAATGAAAATAACAAGGTAAGTGACGTCAGCAATGCTGACGTCGTTTTTAATGACAATATTTCTGTTCGTCCTTTGTCATATATATAATATATTAAATAGTAATAATATGATAAAGAGTTATAAATATAATCATATTAATGTTATTGAAGTTTTTAGTTTCTATTGACCTCATAAAAGACTCTTCATATGTTTTAACTTAAAGTTATCGAAACAACTATCAAGCTCAGATTTATAAGTAAGTTATTTTTCCAGACAATTAGTCGATTTTAAACTGTAATAGCACTATATGTTTTTAAATAATTGTATAGCTTCAATATATAAATGCATATATTGAAATTATTTTGTATAATACATTTTATATCCAATTCTTTTTGCGCGGGCTATGAGTAATTAAATATTGTGTTATTTTCTATAGAGTAATAGGGTCATTCGATATTGTCCTTTTTGATGTCTCACTGCAAAGCTTTGGCTTTTCTTATGAAGGGGATCAGGCCATAGTCCACCATGCTGGCTAAGTGATGGTTGGTGGAATATTTCTAAAACTTGCTAAGTTCTCTCAGATATGTAGATTTACCTATACAATCAGGTCATATCATTGAGCCGTAGGTACAGACTCATTTATTTCAATGCTTACATCACTTTTAGTTACGATATAGTATCATTCTAAGAGCTTACCAGAAAAACAAGTTACATTAGTTAGGTACTTTCCTAAACACTATTTATACAAAATTTACATAATTTTGCATAAATATAGCTTAAGAAATTCGTTGCTTCCTTAAAACTTTCAATTGTTTGTTGGTTATCCAACAAACTCTTTCGAAATTATAATATTAAAATTATTCCTTATTGTTAATAAAATGTCATTATTTAAAACTTGTATAAGTGCAACCGTAGTTTTTTACAAAATATGAAATATTTTGAATACAAAATCATTTTTCCAGTGACTTAATAATACTATTTTAATAATATAATATAATTAAAATAGCATTATTAAGTAACTTTTTGTAATTCATCTCATAAAAACTACTGGAAGTATTCTAATAAAAATGAGCACATCTCACTCACCTACTTATAAACTATCTTTATGTCAATAACCAACAAATACACTTTTGCATTTATAACATTAGTATGTAGGTATAATGAGGAATATCCAAGATCCAAATATGTCGAACTCTATGTACAAGTCGTTAGAAATGTTGTATATTATATCTTATCGCATTATTTACGCCATCTCTAAAGATATAACACGAGCAAATGTTTAATATTCATTTTGCTTCGAATATATCTCAAAACTACAGCTTTAAACATTATCATATCAAAAGTGCGCGAATTAACGGTGATTATTGTGATTGCGAGTGCCGCTTACGAATGCAAAGTGTCAGCGTGTCAAAGATTATATAAAGAAGAGATGTGAGAAAATACATCACAATTAGGTATATTGTTATAAAATTATGTAAAATTACTTTTGATAACAAGTTTTCGCTATCTTAGAGTACTTTAGTAAATAAGTAATGAATAAATATATAATTAAATCTGACTTTTGTTTGAAAATTGAGGCGAATGTTTAAATTATGGCAAGATTGATTTTTATCTCAATTTAATAATTTTTAATAGTATATATTACACAATATAATAAATATAACTATTATTAAGTCGCAAATTTTTAAAGATTTATATTTAAGAAATAATAATCAGATTTTTAAAATATGTGATATGATATACCTATTGAATTTTCATTAAATTTATTGCTATTTTGTAATTTTTAATTTATGTACAGATTAAAAATTAATAACACTAATAATTTATTATTAAATTAAATATAACATACGATTTAATTTTTTTATGAATGCCTAATTAAGTTTATTTTTCATTCATAATATAATTTATTATGTTTATATTTTTACAGGCACCGGTAGCTCAGTAGTAATGCGTTTGCTTTGGAAACGAAGTGAAGCAAGCTCAGGTCCAGAGTCTCCTTTGATATTTTCATGTGCACATAATTTAATTTGTCAGTGTCAATGTTGATTACCTTTTGTCTCAAGAAGAAAGATAACATCATGAGAAAACCTGCATGTCTGAAAGAATCATGCAAGTTTGCGAAAGATATGAAATGAAGTGAAATCCACCAATTTGGCAAGTGTTTTAGAGAGAGTTCCGTATCCACCAGCAGCATACATGCATATTTTTGTGTACATTTCATTATATGATTTGTAAATGTGCTTATATTCTTATGAGTATGATTTTCAAATTAAAATAATCAATGTCTGACTCAGAGAGAGAGAGAGAGAGAGAGAGAGGAGAAAGAGAGAAGAGAAAGAGAGAAGAGAGAGATATCTAGGTGTAGTTTTAGTTTTTATGAATGTCAGTCTCTTGGCTACTTTTAAATTTTTTTACTTATTGCCTGTAGGTTTAGATTTGGTCATTCATATCCAATTGCATAAAATGATACTTTTTAGTGTACAGTTTATACCTACTAATTGCGTGCATTTTTTTTATTTTCTGTGCTAATCTTATACATACTAACATAAGCTGTAATAACGAAAAATAACAATAACACTTTAAATAAGCATGCGATGTTTAGTTAATGTTAAAAGCTTGTGACTTGGAATTTATCCTTAAAGGTATGTATACAATTTAATCTTGATTTACAGTAAATTAATCATTTAAGATACCAAAAATCACATCTGTGTTGCTTTATCATTGCCGGTTGCCCACGCGCGGCTATCGCTGTACAGACAGTAACTGCGAGTCGCGATAGTGCATTAGATACGGGCCGCACACGACGTGTCTCCTACACTACCTCTACCTATAGATACAATATAAAGATAATATAACTTACATTTTTAATGTATGGCAACTTAATGGATATATATATATATATATATATATATATATATATATATATATATATATATATATATATATGGTAACTTTATAAATCGAAAAACACGTTTGCAAGATTTTCCTAATATACATTAAGTTAAAGAGCAATATTAATAATTATTTTCAAATAAAAATAAATATCTTTAAGGATATATGAATAAAATATTATTATCTTATCTTAATGTTTACTTATTACTTGTTTAAATAAATTATTTAAGTATTATTTTTATTATTATAAATAATAAATTCGAATAAAATAATAAATACTATTATTTTACTATTACAGTACAAATTCATTTATAATTAACACCTAAACATTTTTTACATATTTCTTAACAATGAATTTCTTTTAAAATACTGAGTCAAAAAACAAAGAAGTGAAAATCGCCATCCATTCTCAATAAGAAGACAAATAAGCCGAGCGAAACCGTGCTTAACATTCGAAACAGCGCAGACGCACGTTCCGACCGCATTGTCAAAACACCTTATACAATTTCACAGGAGAAAAAAAATATGCCGTGTGTGGTCTTTGCGAATAAAAGTGCGCCACTAAAGTCCAATAAAAGGCACTCGAAACTCAAAAGCAAATATTTTTCAAACACAAGTTAGAGTAAATAATCTTGTGACAATCAACCATAATTTTGGTGTCGATGACAATACGTGCAAAAGAAAAAATACACTGGAAAGGTATACTTTAACACAGCGGGATCTCCAATTGGGGTGATTGCTATGTAACTTCTAATTTGTATGTAATTCCCGACTATAAAAGCTTTAAGACGACTCTCCCATTATTATGCTGTCGTAGAGTTTAATACGATTGTTCTCTCTATTCACTTTGTTTCTTTAAGCATAACCTGTGTTCCGTTTTCTTTCTTGGATAGGTATAACACATATATTACCTTTATAATTATTACTATGGTAATAAAATTCGGTAAAACAACTTTTTTTAATAATTGGTTGGCTAATTACTAAAAAAGCTTCTATTATTAAAAAAGCTTTATTATTGCAAATTTTTACAAAAAAGGTAAATTAAAATAATCGTGACTCCAAAGTCGGCTATAAAACGCAAAAAATGTCGAAAAAACAAAGAAATATCAATATGGCACGATAAGCGAATCACGCAGTTAGAATTCAATTTTAATAAAATCCGCACAAATCTAACACAAAGTATCTGAACTAAGCTAACCTTTTTAACACATCATAAATTTCGAAAATTTGAGGAAAAAAAATATCAGAAAACATGTGGTCCATTATAAATTTGTGTTGTTAAGAAAAGAATCGACTTTATGTCATTTTGATACACTCTTAACGCTTTTGTGCTCTTCAATCGACAATGGGACCTTTTTATTGTGTTATGTGAATATATCTCATGCTCTCACATCGATTTGGCGTTGAATTGAATCGATTTTTCAAGCTTGGTAGTCGTCTTTTGTTGCTAATAGCCACATAAGTTTTGCTTTTTTTCAAACTCTACAATTAACCATTTTATGTTTGATCCCTATTCTTTAACATTTAATAGTCCTATTATATTGATATTATTAAATATTTTATAAAGAGATTTTCATGATGTCAATATTTCTTTTCTTTACTACCAAAATAATTGTTTGAATATCTTCATATTACGTTATACATACTAATTGACTCTACCTAATTTTGTAAGTATACCTTTTAATATAGGATTGTAAATAACTTCTATATAACGAAAGTTTTTAACATGCGAATATTTGTCTGATTACTACAAATCTTGGCCTATGAGGCCAATGTAATGAAATGAAAAGCTTATATTTTTAAACAACATATTTATTTTATTGTATTTACACATACCTACTAAAGAGATCACAATATTTATCAATCAATGAAATTTATCATTTTTTGTTTATTTATTTACCTTAATATATATTTTTTTAATTTTTATACGTTTACGTATGATAAATTGTGTAATAAATTAAATAAGCTTTATGTATACACGCATGTGCACCTATGCGATTAGAGTTATAACTACTAGTGACATCTATTAGCAACAGTAGGAATTAGTATATTATTATTTTTAATACTCTACGTAAGAAGCTAAATTTACAACTCGGATACATATTATTTAGAAACATTAGGACAATAAAAATCAGGTATATAAAGAAGAAACGATAAAGAAAAATATTATTATATAAAAATATAAAAACGCTACACATATGTATGTGAAGTGTGTAAGCTGATACGTAGATAATTTGTACTATATAAGGAGCCGGAAGTTTCATTTCCACACAGTAAAAATGTTTTTGTTTTAACGTTGCGAAATGCATTTACGCTACCTTCTGCATACATTGGGGTGGTTATCTGGGATTTGCTGGCTAGAAAAGCCAGTACTACCTACTAAAAATAATCTACCCCAACGGAACCTTCTCCGTCTTAATGGGGCATCGTAGGATCACTTACACATTGAAAAACGACGCCCCGACGGCAGACTTGCCAAGGGGGACCACAACAACCATGGAGTTGCTCCAACAATCTACTCTGCTTCAGAGAAGTACTACATAGTAAAAATGCTTATCAATAACCCTATTAACTAAAATAACTTTATCATAAAAAATATGAATGATTTTGGCCTCGGAAAGCACAGAATTTTATCTTGTAAAACAGAATATCATCTCTGTTCTTTACTCGCTGTGTATTTGTTTACCTCAATTGAGGAGATACGTGACGATTACAAATAATAATAATAATAATAAAAATTGTAATGTAATTGGTGAAATTTTCATTTTGTTTATTGTGGGTAGGCTGTCTGTAACAACTATACCTTCAAGACGTGTAACACCTCAGTCTCTCCCGTGACCATGGATGCTGTAAAGCATTCGAAACGTCGGGAAACAAAAATGCAAATAAATCCGCGACAAAATCCAAAAAGATAGTTTTATTTAAACTTATTATTATTATTTTTAATTATTATACGGTCTATGGATACTTTAATATTATACAATAACATAGGCTTAATTGTTATAAAAATCTAGTTTTTATGGCGTAAATTGAGACAAAACAAGTTTGTGTTTCTATTTTATGTATATTGTTACGTACAGTATGTTTTATTTTGTAGAGGTCTTTTAACTGCTATGATACTGCCTGTTATGATGAAAACGATGATGAAATATTTGGGTTTAGTTATTTTTATTGAATACAAACCTTGGATAAAGCAAGGGTTGGTCGCCCTTCTAAACATAATATAATATTTACAGTACGGGACCTAAACGCGGGAATTCGTAAGTGGCAAAATACCTCATTTCCGACGTTTCGTATGGCTTGCAGCAGCCGTGGTCACAGGCGGATTCTGATATTTTGCCACGCACATACGTTTTTTATCTGTAGTGTAATTATTATATAATTATTGTGGAACGCGAAAAAATTAAACATAACTTTACAGTTCTTATATAATTTAGTTAATTATTTAATCGATACTATGCTCTAAGCGTTCCTTAAATATTCTATAATATTCTATGTTTGTTGAGCTTTATTTGATATTATAGCTTCATGATTAGTTATAATCTTAGGTTGTTTACTAAATTACAAGTATTTTAGTTTATGAAATATTTATTCGCTACCCACATACTCTTAACGTAATAAATCAATATATCTTCGCTACCTAGAAAATGATTTAGATGAATATATATATATATTAATTCTAATCCAAATGTACGACATAATACCATAGATAATAAATAAAAATAAATATCTAAAAAGGTTAAGATAAAAAAGATTTTTTTTTTAAAGTTAAATAAACATTCTTTCATATTTATTTCATTTGTAGATTTTTTTTGTGATGCTTATTAGTAATTTGAACGAAGTCAAATATATTTTTTTTCTTTTTAAATGAAAATTTAAATTATTTTTTATGGTAATCTATATATGTATAAATAGGGAAAGACCAAACAATTCAATACCCATATCTTATCTGTTTGTCAACTGATTCTTTTTTTTTGTTTCATAGCTAAGAGCTTTAAAGTGTCATCAATAAAAAAATGGTCGTATTTCAACTACTAGACAACCTACATGCTTAGTATCTAATATTTATTAAGTTTTTAATTTTAACATCCTACTCTGGGCACGGGCTTCTCTTTGAACAATCTTCACTTAGTTTCCAAAGCGGTCATGCTACTAATGAGCAATTAGTAACAAATATTCTTTTTAATATTTAAAACCTCCACAACCGCGGACACGCCGGCGTGTCAGTTAACAATAGATTTCTTAGTTTAATTAATTTCTTAGAAATTTACCTGGAGGTGTTAAGATTATAATATTTATAACTAAGAGTATAATATTTATAACTTTTACATTTTTAAGTTTATAAAATAAAAATTAAGTTTGTATAAAATAAAAAAAAATTGAATTTCAAAGGTACTTTACCTTTGAAACTTTTCAAAAACAATAATTAATAATAAAAACCAAAAACCTTTGAAATATAATTGTGTATTAATCTAGCTGTATTTATATGACATACATATAATACATATGTATTGGAAGTGCAGTAAAAGACAAATAAAAAGTTCATAATTTTTATTACAATAAAATATTTCTTAAGATATTTTGTACAAAATATTCACAAAATTAGTCTTCAACCACAATCCAAGGAAGACATTTAATTTTGACGCAACTTACATTAAGCTTTTGATTTAATCATATTCTAATAATTTAGGACGGGCCCATTGTAACTGACTTAGCCACTTACACTATATTTACAAATACACAAATGAGATCAGCAATATACAAAATTATGAAAATGCAGATATAATACTAAAATCAAACCTAACAGATTGTAAGTTAGAACTACACTAAAGAACATCTCAACTAATATCATTGTTATGAATATAATTTAAAAGGAGTGGAAGGACTGTTATTTTCACAAGCTTTACATTGAATATATGTACATCTAAAGCTCAAAAAGTTAATTTTATTGCTATTAACTTGTGTTTCTACTGTGATTATCTATAATGTTAAGCCTAATAACTTGTGGAATCTTTTTGTGTTTCAAAAAATATTCTAACCGTATATAGGTGGAGACGTATATTTTATCAACTATTATGGTACTTAAACAAAATCTGTATAGATTCATAAAATTATAAGGCACTGGAAATTATCAGTCTTTTATTTAACACGTAACTGTTCTAGAACAATTTCAATTCTCTTCTTCAGTATCTAAGTTATCGATAGGGAAATTCGGATTTACTAAAGAGCTCTTACCAGCGCCACTAGGGGATGTATTGACAGAAGATATGCTAACTAGATTATGAGTTAGACTGTGACGTCGAAGATCACAATTACGTCTAAAAACTTTACCACAAGATGTGCAATTGTAAGGTTTAATGTCTGTATGGGTGAGAAGATGGGTTTTTAGATTTGATCTTTGATTGAAACTTCTACTGCATACTGGACACTTATGGGGGGACTCTTCCATGTGTAGGATTTTGTGTACTGCTAATGTGCGGGACTGACAAAATCCTTTGCCACACTCAAGACATTTGAATGGTTTTTCTTTTGAATGTATGTATCTGAAACAATGAAAATGTCATATTTTAATTCATAGTTAAATATGTGCATATAAAATTGCATAGTGTATTATATATATATATATATATATATATATATATATATATATATATATATACATATATATATATATATATATATATATGTGTATATGTATACGTCCTATACTCTACTTAATAAGAAACACTGGGGGACTCAGATAAGATGTCAAACTCCGCGGAAGAATAAAAATCTAAAAAATTTATGGCAATAACATGTTATGATTCTATCACATAACGATTAAAGTCATTTCAATATCACTAAAAGTTCTATCCCTCAACGATTATAGAATGATTCTTGACTAAGCCCCCTGATTACTCTACCCTTATATATTTTTTTATTTACGTATATTTGAATTATTGTATCTTTTGTTGTATACATCTATACATAAAAAACAAAGTCGGGTCAGTTACACCATTTATAACTCAAGAACGGCTGGACCGATTTTTATGATCTTTGATTTGTTGGATTGTTCCCCGCTTCCAAATAACAGAATAAATTAACGGAAGAAAATATTCTTGGTTAGTAAGAATTTATATCTATTTAAAAAATACCTAAGGAAAATGCACCTAAATGCACCCAAGCGAAACCAGGGTAAGTCTTTGTATGTATGTATTTAGCTCTTTTTAACGTCCCACAGCTGGGGGTGGGCCTCCCTTCTGTACGAGGGGCATCAGGCCATAGTCCACCACGCTGGCCAAGTGCGGGTTGGCGGACTTCACATGTCTTCGAAAACTTGCTAGGTTTAGGTTTGGGCTACCACTGCCTTAAGTCGTTAGTTACTCATAAATTATAATGTAAAAACGTTCTATACAATTTTTAAAATAAAATTAAACTACAAAATTTTGCAACAAATACATATTATTATGTTTAAATGCAATTATAATAAATATGTCATGCAATAAGTACTACACTGAAAGCTATATTTTGAACACCTCGTACTGAAATATCGGGAACAAACAAGAGCCCGCGGGATATGTGTAATAAATCGGCGTACACTCTCATTTCTCTTCTCGCCATCATTTATTACTTAACGCTTAAACTGTTAAATATTTTTGAAATATTCTTTTACAACAAATCATTACTGTTTCATTATTCGACTCCTCAATCAATGAGATGGATGCTCCTAAGTTAAGGGTCATTTAATGAGTACCCAAACTTTTACATTTGCATTTAAATGTTTAAAGTGGTTTTTATTACATGTCTAAACGAGCTTAGATAACCAAAGCTTCTATTTCTGCTTTTTAATAGCTTTACCTTGTATGATAAATCACGTATACAGGGTTATAGCTCGGGAAAAACAAAAGTTATACAGCTTATTAGATAGTAATCGAGTTTATTGGGATGGGTACGTCTCAATATTTTATATTGATATGTTTTTTGCTTAATAAAAGTTTTAGTTGTTTCCACCGTTTTCTTCACATGGAATTTACAATTTTAAAATTGGTTTAAAACACACATAACCTAATAATTACAGTTCTCTAACATATAATCAATAATAATATAGACCGAGAAACGAGCAATCGAATGATCAATTCAAGAATTATCCGATAAACAAATACACTCGGTGAGAGAAAATAACGACGTGTTCAAAGTAACGTAATACGTGTAATAATCGTTGAGATAACGATAACTGACGATTAAGAGGTACAAGATGATGAATGAAAAAATGATTTGGATATAAAAGATGATGGGGCGATTAGGGAACGCGCGCACTCGAGCGTGGCTGACACCGGCGCGGACGCAGTTAGGCCTAACCCGAACCAACGCGACATCGTTGATAAATTAAACCTGCTATAAATATTGATAGCCTATAAAATTCTAGTTGAAGACGCTTATTAACTTTAAAACATGTCACAGTAATGTGCATTAAGTTTGAAATGTTGACGAGCCGTAATTGCTGGAAAAACATCGAAGTCCGTCTATCTTTAGAAGTAACGTATATAGTTTTATAAAGATTATATTTTTATAAAGTTTTTGATAGAAATTTTATTAGTCTATTTATTTTTTCATATGGAGACTTAAAAATCTATATTTATATAAATATTTTATTTTAATGTTTTGTAATATCAAAATGTTTTATAGCGAAATCAAATATTTATGTTATTTCATCACAATTAAGTTATTCAAATTCCCTTAATACAGATAGCAATCGAATTCCCCGAGTAAAGGTATTAAATTTTAGTGGATAAAAAACTTACACGATCAAATACAATCTTAATTTGATATGCGCATGATATTTACCACGCAACTCATTTTTTTGTCATCCATATTAATCCTCATGTCAGGATCACCACGTGCTTTGTTAAAAAACCCGTCGAACGATCCTCTCCTTTATAATGTATCGTGTCAACGGACATCGATTGAATATCGACAGGCGGGGTCGGTCTCGGAATAACCCTCCGGCGTCTACATGAAATTTATTTTATTACCACAAAGATACGGTGATTTGGGTAGAAATCGAGGGACAGGTGTTAAAAATTCAACACCTTTACATCTTTTGGGTGTGGAACTTGAACAGATAAGTTAAAAAATAGATAAGTGTACCTTAAAACTTGTTGTCGATACAATACACGTAATAGCATTGTTTATTGAGATCATCGTATGGGATTCGTTTGTTTTCTTCGAAATAGTATTAACCTTTTTTAAACATCAATATTTTCTGATAAATGTGAGATATGCGCGCAAGTTTATAAGGAATTCAAAAGAGTTAAGAGAAACAAATCGAAAATTTAAAATTAAAATATTCGGCTCTTCTCAGATTAGCAGTGGTTTTATAAAATAATAAACGAGCGTGACGAACGACTCGTCGATACCATCTGTCCGGTCCATAATTAACCCTTTTTGTTTGAAATATTTTTCTACACCGCCATTATTCAAAAGTTCATAACGATTCGCGTAGAAATTCGAGGACCAAATCTTTTATTGATATCGAAAATGAGAATCGTGATCCTTTCAAATGTTTTTCAACACGGGTCATTATTATTTTATTTTATACATATGAATCGGATCATCCGCTATGGTATTTAAGTGTTGAATAAAGTTGAAAGCTCCCATTGATTTAGCTATTTATTAGGAAGGTCGAGATAAGATATAATTAATGGGTTCTGTAGTAGAGTAAATTGTAATTATATGGTCTATTTAGGTGTCATGATATTGACACGAATATACCTGCCCATAACCTTTATGTTTACATTTACCCTGAATGTGAAACAAATAGTTATACGTTTGTTATTAAAAATGTATGTTGTATTTTTTTTATTTGCAAACAAATATTATAGTGATAGAGTAATTAAAATTATCGAAATTACCTGAGAAAATATTTATAATATAACTTTTGTTTACCTGTGGTCTCTGAGATGATCTTGCCGTCGGAAAGCCTTTCCACAGATGTCACATGAGTAAGGTCGCTCGTCGGTGTGGGTTCTTTCATGGATTAAAAGGTTATAAGATTTCGTGAATTGTCGATTACAAAATTTGCAAATAAACTGTTTCTTAGTTCTCGGTCCGCTGCCTGTTGTCTTTTGTTTATTCGATATACTACTACCCGTGGAAGATGTTGAACTGTTTGTTGATTTTGAACTTGAAGAATTCGATGGCTGTGGTGATAGTGGGGGCTGAGATGGACTTCCATTCATTTGTTGTTGATACATTGCATTCATGAGAAGACTTGGGTATCCATTATCTAAATTTTGTGATGTGCTATAGTTATATCCTTTTGATGTAGACTCTAAATGTTGCTCCAGTGTGAAATCATCTTCATTGTCAAGTAATGCTAAGTCTTCCTCTACTTCTTCTGATAAGTCAACGTCTTCAGCAGCTATATCATCAGGTAAGGGATATTCTTCAGGAGTTTTTGGTGACATAATTCTCGTAACATTCTCCGAAACGTCTGTTTCAGTTATCTTAGCACTTGCCGTCGCGAGCCTTAATATATCTTGTTTTGCGGAGGTATTGTTGTCAGATGTATTTGGTTGTGTCGAACTATTTACAGATGACACCGTAGTGAGACGTTGTAAAGTTAAATAAGATTCTAAAGCTTGTAAGTTTAAAGCTGCAGCTGCAGCAGAATTCGAAGGCAAGAGTGCTGCTTGTTGTAACGAATTCATCATGGCATTTTGAAGTGAAATTACTACACCTTGTAACGATCGTTGCAGCATATTCTCTTGTAATAATGCGGCAGATGCAATCGACAAATTTATATTTGTAGTAGATGTTGAACTAGAAATCTTACTTGAATTGTTTTTGGTATCCTCGGAAGATGTCTCGATGCTTAATAAGCCACTCATATCCGTTTTATTGTCTTGTATCTGGAGGTTATTTTTAAGTTTGATGATGGCGCTTTCTAATGAATTAAGCGTGGTTTTGTTAGTTCGAGAAGTGCTTTGCTCTTGCATGTTGTTCAGTGGGCTATCATCAGGTGGTCACAGTGCACGTGTTGTGGGGAGCGCGGTGGGGGGTATCGCGTGCGCGTGCGCAGTCGCAGTCCCGATACGCGGCGTGCGAGGCGGCTGTGCGGTGCGGCGCGACTGAGCCGGCGGGCAGCTTGCGACCGCCCCGCCCCCACCTCCCCCTCGTCTTCCCGCCTCACAAAAGCTCTCTATTTTAGGCAACTCTTTGTACAGTAATGGTCACCTCACGCTGCCCTACACAGATACGTCCATGAGAACGTTGCGCCAGATTTCTTGTAGCCCTTTCAAGTAATGAGATTCTGAATGGAATTGGTCGGGCTATGGGAAAACAATCCGATCGGACCATTTGTTTTATTTGTAGGTCATGTCACACGCTTTTACAATTACTAAACACCGTGTATTGTGCCTATATATTGATGAAATATTTAAGAGAACATCAGTCTTGCCATATACATATGCTAACATTAGCTATAATCGATCTTTCAAAATAATTTTATTGTTAATAAAATTGAAAAGTAAACATGAAAAATACTTTTTAAAGTGACATATTTTAGGATGAAAACGTAAAAAAATATTTTTGCATATCTTACACGATGAGTAGTATACATGAAAATATTATGGACATTGTGGAGCCTCGGCGTTTATAAAGCGCAAGCCTGAGACGAAAGTGGACATCAACTAAATAAATACTAAAGCATGCCTGTGTCACTTTTCATGTTAACCACAGACTACATAATGTCTAGATAGGGAAAGTATAGTTATTATTTAATGACAGATTGAATATGGAATTTCTATTTATTATAGATGTTGGATCAACTGGGAATAGACTAAATAATAACTATTTTACTTCCTTTTAATATTTTACATTTAAAATTTGATGTGATTCTATGGTGAATTTAATGTAAATTTTCTGTAAAAATCTATAGATAAAAACTTATTAAAATATTTGTATAATAATAAGATTAAAATTAAAATCAGTTAAGATGTTGAAGCTTAGAATAAATATCACAAGACACATAAACATAGCTAATTAATAGTAGAGCCAGAATAAAGAAAATTTAAAGAGCATACTTTGTATATAAGTATAACAGCAACGTTCTTTGCTGTTTATCCTACAAGTTATATACTATTAACATAATGTATTATATTATACTGAAAAAATAATATTTTTTATTTAAGACTAACATCTCTACAAATTTTTATGGTCTATGGGCAGAGTAAGTTAAATGCAAGATTAAAAAAAATACTTACTGATGTTCATTAGGTTTGCTCAGTTAAATTATATATCTCAATATTTGTGTACCTTTAGTTAAGGTTATAAACCGTATAAATAATACGAATAATGCCATTATTGACAATAATCGTTTATGATGGAGTCAAAAAGGGTAACGAAATATTGACACTTTGCTTACGCTTTGTAGCTTTTAGCTCACAATGTGTACATTTTGCACTTTGATTTTAAATTTAAATATGTTTATGACTGAATTTATAACGAATATTTTGTTTTACATAAAATATTTAATACTAGCGACTCACCCTCGCTTCGCTCGGTGTTGCTTCTCCACACACGCTTTCACCCCTATTTTCATCCCTTTCAGGGATGATTTCCGAGATTAAAACTATTCTGTTCTTTTCAGTCCAGAGTTTTAAACTATCTTCTTACCAAATATCATCTAAACCGGTTCAATAGTTTCGGAGACTATTCGGTACAAACAAACAAATCTTTTCTCTTTATAATATTAGTATAGACTATTTTATTATGGAGCTACTTTCAAAAAGTACCCATTACAATGAAATTGTTTTTTCATTACGCAAAGCTTTGAAGCGCGTTAAAAGATATTTTAAAAATAAAATATATACCTAGATTTTTCTAAATAACAAACCAATTATAACTATTTAAATTTAAAGGAACATAGCTATCGCGTTGATAATTTCAGTGATGTTGCCACGAGCCAATGTCAGACAGAAAATAATTGCTTGTGGTAACAATTTAGCACATCGCGGATAATTATTGTTTTTATGATAATTTGTTTTAAAATATTTCTTTGTTTAAACTTTAGATATAAAATTTATTTATTTAGTTACTAGCAGAACCCGCGGCTTCACTCGCGCTAGAACTACAAAAAAATTAAAAATTATATTTCATACAAACTTTCATACCCTATTTTACCCTTTATGGGATGAGTTTCGAAAAATGTTAAAACACGTATTTATTTAATTGTATTGAAGAACATTAATACGAAGTTTCAAATAATTCAGATCATAAATAATTTTTGGGTTGTATTATAACGTGTTTCCCGTGGGAATTACGTTATTTCCCGCGATAAAAAGTAGTCTATGTCACTCTCCAGCCTTCCAACTATCTCCACGCAAAAAACACATTAGTCCATAACTCCGTTTTGACGTGAAAGAAAGACAAACAAGAAAACAAACAAACAAACACACTTTCACATTTATAATATTAGTATATGGATTTACATAATCTAGGGTGTGTTTATAAAATTTCTTATTGATAGAGTTATTGTTGGATTCTTCTTAGATATTTTAGAATATTTTATACCTATCATTTAAGTATAGCTTATACCTAGCTGATAGATTTTAAGAAAATTATGTTTTGAATGAAAGACAATGAAATCATTGTTGACATAATAATAAAGGAAGCCCTTAATTACACGCTGCCGCATAGTTTTAGTATTACTATTATAATATTACTGCGTATATTGTGTACTTAATATTTTAAGATCAAATAGATATGTGACGCTGGAAGTGATTTATAGTTTTGTAAATAACAACCAGTGAGCCCTTTGAGACTTCTAGAAGCAACATCTTCACAACAAGCTTCTAGAAGCGTGACTTAAATAATAATCTCCACACTTCTTACTCCAATAATGACGAACCTACACACAAACCTTCATCCCCAACTTAATTTCTTTTGCATTATTAAAAACCCATCTTCTTGTTCACTTTCGTTATCTATACTTTTATACAGATAAATAAAATTGAAGTATCTGTTTGTAATGTCAAAATAACAGCGTTTTACTTAATGCATATGAGATATGCATTTGGGTTTATCACGGTACTTATAAGAAAAACACAATTTTTAAAATGTTTGTCTGTCTGTCTGTTTATTCCGGATAATCTCTGAAACGGCTGGACTGATTTTGACTGGACTTTCACTGGAAGATAGCTAATGTTATAGGGAGTAATATAGGCTACTTTTATTTAAAAAAAAAATTGGGTTCCGCTCAAAAAATTATAACGTACCCAGGGACGAACCCGCGCGAAGCGAGGGTGAGTCGCTAGTATGAGAGTTATACATATGGGCAAAATGTCATGTTTCTAAAATGTTCTAGAATTTTCTAGGCCCAGGGTCCTAGAGATTGCAGCTATGCGTTGCCTATAAGTCATTCATTAGAATAATAGATTGTAATAGGTGTAACATAGTGCTTGGTCTAATATAATGAAATGAATAATACCTAACTTTAGGCCTCTTACCATTGAAGCAAATCTTTCGCAATTCCTACGCGGGCTAATTCCACGATTAAGCAATTCACAATCGTTGTCACGGTGAGTGATTTCGCACAAAGCGATGACCACCATGCTCCAATAGAGCGTAGTGGGTAATTGCACTAACAATTGACATGAGAAACGGGAATCTTATCGTAAGCATATGTGCACGTAGAAATAAAACTGCTTACAATATTAACTTTATAAAATACTTTGTATCTGTTAGGTTTTTAACGCTTTTAGCTCGTAGTTTTATAACAACAGGTTGTTTGCAACTTTGTAAAAATTTAACTAGATTTCTTCGTGCAGTTATTTTATTAAAACAAATTCTTCTTGGATTCCTACCTTCATACATACATATGTAGATACTATATATAGAAATAAAATATAAATATTTTTTTGGAAATATGTATATATTTCACTAAATAGTAATGTATTTAACAAAACACATAAAATGGAAAGGACTCATTTTATGTCATTAAAATAAACTCGCTATAAGTATTTTGGTTTAGTCAATTATTTAGTTTATGACTTTAAGGATAGTTACAATTAATACATAACCATAAATATTTACACATTTTATTGAGATGAACTAAGCAGATTTTTTTAAGTAGAAACTTTTATTACTAGATATTCATTATTTAATGATTTGAAAAATGCGTAGCATTCTTCGTTTATATATAAAATAACGTATACTAATAAAATTATATTGATATTATAAATGAAATAGAAGAAAATATTGTGATAGAAATAATAAATACCAAAATGTATTGGATTCTTCCACTGCCTTCACTGAATAATGGCTTAAAGTTCCATAATATTGCCTACACTCAAGAAATATATATTAGAGTTAGTTAGCTGTAAGTGATTTTAACAATAAAGTGTGAATTTAATCGTCCAATGTCTTTTATTTTTCCTATAAAAATATATTATTCTACACTACGTGTTAAATAGTTTTTTTATTATATATATGTTAGTTTTTAAGGTATATATGTTATAGGCTATAGGCCTCTGTTTACATATATAGGATCTTTATGTAAATATTGCCTGAAATAAATGATTAAATAAAAAAAAAAATTAAATTCAGTACAATTAAACTCCGCCAATGTGGTGTAAAATAAAAAAAAGATACGAAAAATTATAATTCTTATTATTTTTGACTGTCATCACTACTGTAACGGTTTCTACGACAGTTTTATAAGTATATATAAAAAAAAATCAATAAAATATCGCTTCCTAAAACAACATAGGTTCATCGAACTCAGCACAGTCCGCTTGTTAACTGCGATCCGCCTACACATGATTGTATCTACTTAGATACATTTGGTGAAATTCCAAGCTAGGTTTATGCTAACATAATCAGATCGATAAAATGTAACACGTGTTATACTATGAAGTCAATATGTGAAGAAATTATATGGTTCTGCAATTTTCTCCTTTCTGGCTAGGGCCAGAAAGAAAAAAATTTGCAAAAGACT